CAATCTCCTGGCTTGTTATAGGTCTATTCAGGTTCTCTATGTCTTCCTGATCCAATCTTGGTAGATTATATGATCCAGGAATTTGTCCATCTCCTCCAGGTTGTTTGTTGGCGTAAAGTCACTCATAGTATCCTCTAATGATATTTTGTATTTCTGCTATGTTTGTGGTAATATTGCCTGTTTCATCACATATTTGATTAATCTGGTTTCTTTCTTTCTTCTTCTTGATAAGTCTAGCCAATGGTGTGTCGATCTTGTTAATCTTTTCAAAGAACCAGCTTTTGCTTTCATTTATTTTCTGTATGGTTCGTTTATTTTCTATTTCATTTATTTCTGCTCGAACCTTTATTGTTTCTTTTTGCCTGGCATTTTGGGGGTTTGTTTGTTGTTGTTTTTCCAATTCTCTGAGGCATGATAATAAGTTATCTACTCGCCATCTTTTCATCCTTTTCTTATGTGCACTAATTGCTATGAATTTCCCTCTTATGACTGCTTTTGCTGTGTCCCATAGATTCTGGACACTTGTGTACTCATTATCATTTGTTTCCATAAATTTTTTTATTTCAGCCTTAATTTCTTCAGTAGTGAAGAAGTCATTCAGAAGTAGGTTGTTCAGTTTCCATGTGTTCGTGTATTTTCGGGCATACCCCGTATCTTGACAGGAGGATGTATTGTTCTTGGAAAAGCCATGTTGTATTTTCCTATGCAAAAATGGAGCATGAGTTTTCTGAAAACCCAACAGAAATGGAGGAGAAGGGATTGCTGTGGGAACTTTTGCTGTGGGGGGTAATTTTTTCCCTTCTCTCTGTGTCTCTTTGGCAAGCACACATGGCCTCTGGCAATTACGAAAAGATGAAAGGAATACATACACTTTTTAAAAAACAACAAACCTAACATGTTTGTGATGGGAAAATACAGAAAACCATTAAGAAGGAATTAAAATAATTTATAATTACTGACTACAGATAGGTATATATTTAAGTGCACATATTTTTAAATAGAATGGGCATGAAATGGAATAACACAGTTTTACTATACTGTTTTTTTCACTCACAATATTATTTTTCACTCATTAAATTATTTTTGACAGTATGATATTTTGTTCTTGTTTGGGGTACATGGATAGTACTTTAAATAGCATTTCCCTATTATTGAACATTTGGTTGTTTATGATTTTTCTCTAATGTTTCAAATGAGTATTTTCATTTTTTTTTTTTATTGCCAGAGAGCATGTATGCTTACGAGAGAGAGAGAGAGAGAGAGAGAAAGAGAGAAAAAGCAACCCCCCAATGGGGTATGGTCATGTTGCAGTCCTGTTTTTCCTCCGTTTCTCCACCCCACTAGGATTTTAGGCATGTACGCACACATGCCTGGTATGTTTTTCAAACCACTGGGACTGGAATTCAAACTATGGTCAACCATGTAGGATCCAGCTTTCTTAACCACTAGACTTTCTTAACCACTACCACTCGGGTACCTCCCAGTGAGTATTCTTATACATGAATACTTTGTTTCCATTTTTGATTAAGATTAGGATTTCATCTTTCCCCTAGTAGATTAAAGAAGCAGAGTTACTGAGACAGAAGATGGAGGAAGATACTTTTAAGGCTTTTGATATGCATGAAGGCAGAGATAAAATTGCCTTTTAGTGATGCTGACCCACAGCCTTCCAGCAGGATAGAAGGATTTCTTTGGTGGCAGTTTCCGTAGCATTGAGTATTACCTCTACTGAATTATTTTTGTAACTGTGGAATTTACTTTTAAGAGTTGAAGACCTTGTACCTAAATATGTAAATAATCATAAAAACATTTAATAGACACAAGAATGGAAAGTTATCTGTTGAGGCTGATGTGTATGGCAATATCTTTGACTTGCTTGGCATGTAATGCGTGTAGGCTTTGAAAAAACATACTGTATGCTGCAAAGATGTATGATGAGTAATTATAAGTAAAAATATAAACACAAAAACAAATGAAATTAAAAGACTTAGAAGAGACAGAGATAGGACCAGTGGAATATTCAAATGCTTTGGAAATAGAAGGGGTAGGTCTACAGGACTGTGTGTGTTCATTGGCAAACCACTGACTTTGCCCTATTCCTTCTGGATTAGTCTTTGTCCAGAGCCTGTGGAGCAGGGCTCCCTAGCAGACTTGTTTCTTCTCTCTCTCTGCTGAGGTTCTTCATAGGCCTGCTCTGCACTGGACACTGAACTGGAGGCCGGGCACCATTGTCCTCCTCTCTCCTCAAGGAGCTCACAGTCTGGGTGTGGAGCCAGCTCAGTGTGTTTTTGCTTGTGGCCTAAAGAGGCTCAAAAGTATTCCTGTGTGTTTCCAAATGGTTCAAGGTAGATGCAGTAAAGTAGGAAATGGCGTAGTTGGCTGCGTTCTTGTCGAAGAGGAAGAAAGTGATGATGGGAAACCAAGCTGAAGGGGAGCAGATGTTACTTTGCATTGTGTAATCTGGGTTCTTTGATTTGCTGAATTATACAATTTGTTTTTAGAGGCGGTTTGGGGTAGAATTTGGACCACAAATGAAATTTGTATTTGTTTAATCAGTGTAGCAGGTCAACCTGAACCGAGATGGACTGCTGTGGTGTTCTGTTCCGGTGCTTGCCCTGTGATCTTTCCATGGCCTGAGGTCTCAGATGGGTGAGGGCCCCCTGTTTGCTTCTGGTTATTTTAGTTCCAAGGATAATCTTGTACGAGCCCTCTTGCTTTTTCAGGTGATGCATTCCGGAAGCCCCGCCTTCAGAAGTCTGTCACATGGTACTTGGATGATTTATTCTTCACCCTGTATCCTTCCCTTGAGAAATTTGAGGAAGAGCTTCTGGGACTCCTTGTCAATGACTACTTCCGGGAGGTACTGTCTTCTGTACTGAATATGAAGATGTGTCTGGCAGGGTGGCTGGGAGAAGGCTGAGGGCATCTAATGCCACCAGGGAAGGGCAGTGCTGCTGGATAACATGCCTCTGCCTTGTCCTTCTTTTGGCTGAAGAGGGACTCTCGTTTCTGTTCTTGAACTATACTTAAAGTAGGTCTCTGGGGCCAGCCTATGGTATAGTGGTTAAGGTGACTGGATCCTGCATGGCTGACTGTGTGGTTCCAGTCCCAGACTTGGAGGCTTGAACCATCTGGGACCAGCAGGTGGTGTAGTGGTTAAGATGCTGGACTCCCACATGGCTGACTGCGATTTGACTCCTAGACCCGGTGGCTTGAAAAATCACACTGGGCACGTGTGTGTTTGCCCAAGATCCTGAGGAGAATGGCCATCCCCTCTGGGAGTTGATCTCTTACTTTCTCTCTGTTTCTCTCTGTCTCACTGGCAAGTGCATGTGCCCTATGGCAAAAACCTTAGAAAGAAAGAAAGAAAGAAGGAAGGAAGGAAGGAAGGAAGGAAGGAAGGAAGGAAGGAACACACTCGGTGCCTGTGTGTATGTGCCCAAAATCTCAATAGGAGGGTAAAATGGAGGAGAGGGGCTTGTGGTATGACCATTTCTCTCATTCTGTCTCTCTGTCTCTTTCCAACAAGTATGCATGCCTTCTGAAAATTAAAAAAAAAAAAAAGAAAGAAAGTAAAGTAGATGTTTTCTTTTTTTGGAGAGGATTTGCCATAGGGCGCGTACGCTCACCAGAAAGATGGAGAGAGACAGAAAACGAGAAATCACCCTCTGAGGGAGATGGCCATGTTGTAGTCCCTTCTCCTCCATTCTCCTCTTGGGATCCTGGGCACGCACGCACACACGCCTGGCGTGAGTTTAAGCCACTGGGTCCAGGACTCGAACCGTAGTCGGCTACATGGGAGTCCAGCGACATAGCCATTACTACAACTGTTGGTCCCTAAAGTAGATCTTTGAAGATGCATTTCCTCCTATAGCTCAGCCTCTTCCAAGTTACTAACCTCTATCTTAACTTGGACAGTGATGAAGATGATGTTAGCTTGAAACATTAGTTGGCATTAATTTTGATTATGAAACAGTTCTCATTTAAAAAGAAATTAAATCACTAAGTCAGCATAGAGAAAATCATAATATACTCTGTATCTGCAAAAGCTGTTTGGCTAATTTCAGGAGGCCACTAGAAAGAAGCCTCGAGATCCAGGTGGTAGTGCCGTGGTAATGCACCGCATGGGAAGGGTGCTGGGTTTGTGTCCCAGGACCTCGTTGAGCATGCTGGGCATATGTGTGCGTGGCCATGATCCAGGCTAACTTGGGGTGGGTTGCAGCATGAAGATCTTGTTGGAGTGCTATCTTTCTGTTTCTCTGTGTGTTTCATTCTCATGAAAGAAAGATAAAAACTTTCTAGAAAAAGGGAAAAAAAAGAAAGAAGCCTCAGGCATTTTGCCCCATCCAGGTGGCTTCTGTGAAAGGCACTCCCTGGTCTCACACTCAAGCTCTGCCTCCTGTGTGAACGTAGGCCTGTGGACTCTACAGTGGGGAGTCTGTGAGGAGAGTACTTTGCTGTTCCTCTCCGTTACTCCTACGTACCTGGATTTGTCCACATGCGCTGGCAGGGGCTTCTGGGAGAGTCAGCCCTTCCGCCAGCAGTGACGTTCTCTCTGTTGGCCCGCAGCCTGCAGCGAGACATTGTGGCAGCATGCTCCTGTGCCATAGTGCGCACATCCGGACATGTGCTGCTTGGATGTTCCTCGATGCAGCATGTTCTGAAATTTCCTCTCCTACCTGTGTGTTGATGACGCATTGGCAAGTTGTGTAATACCAAGTCCAAGGAGATCGTCTCGAGTTCTTGTCACCTCTATTAACAGTAAGGATTCTCTTGGGTTTTCTGTGTAGAAGCTTGCCAGAAGATCCCGGGAAAAGACGTTGCAGGTTTGGGGATTTGTTTTGTAACAATCTTCACTCTTTCTGGAAGAACTGGGCCTGATAGCTGTCACAGAAGCTGCTCGAACATGGCCTGCCTGTGCTGTTCTTCTGTTCCCAGCAAAGGCGGGGACAGAGGAGGGTGTGGGATGTTCTGTAGACAGCCTGTGTCCTGCTTTGGCTGAGAGCCAAAGCCCCAGTAGTGGGGACTGAAAGGGTCAGCCCTGTCAATTCTCTTGGCTTGTGCTCGATGAGGGACAAACCACCTCTTGTCCCCTCTGCTAGAACAATAAGAGTCTTCACAGTTGACCTTTTCCTTTTTTTTTTTTTTTGAGAGTTTTTTGTTTGTTTGTTTTTCGCTATGGGATGTGTGCACCCGCCAGAGAGAGAGAGAGAGAGAGAGAGACAGACAGACAGAGAGAGAGAGAGAGAGAAATCACCCCCTAGGGTATGTGGCCATGCTGCAATCCCTTCTCTTCCATTTGCCTCTTGGGATCCTGGGCATGCACGCATGCACACACACACACACACACACACACACACGCCTGGCGTGAGTTTAAGCCACCCAGTCCTGGACTTGAACCACGGTTGACTACATGGGAGTCCAGCGACATAGCCATTACGCCAACTGCTGGTCTGTTACAGTTGACTTTTGAAACAAAAGGAAAGAAACTTCACCAGCAGAGGGCTGAGAAACTAACATGGACCCAGATGTCTGCTAGTGCTAATTGTCTCCATTCTTTTCTGCTGTGAGCCTTCCTGTGGAGCCCTGGCAGGGTGAGGAGGAGAGTCTTTGTAGCTAGTGCCTGTGCAGCCCTGGGGGGCTCTTCTTGGATGTACCTTCCATCCTGCCCACCCCCCAAACTTTTATGCTTGTCATGCCTTTACTTTTTGTTCTAGTTTTACCACCTCGAGATGCTTCTATAAATAATATAGACTTGCCTGCTTTGACCTTTATTTACATGAAAGCATACTTGTATGTTTTATTCCTTTTGCTGAAAACTGTACTCCTGTAAGAGTCATTCTTGTTGGTCACCATCGGTCAGTTTGCTTACCGTCTTTGCTCTATAGTATTCTGCTGTGTCAGTGCCCCATGATTTATTTGTCTAATCTGCTGTTGATGGGCTTCTGAGCTGTTCTCAGTTTGGAGTCATTATGGTCCTGCTAGGGATGTTGTGTATATATTATGGCTTTGACTAATAGAATCTTTTTTTTTTTTTTTTTTGAGAGGTTTTTGCTATAGGGCGTGTGTGCTTGCCAGAAAGACAGAGAGAGACAGAGAGATAGAAAGCGAGAAATCACCCACCAGGGGGGTTGGTCATGCTGCAATCCCTTCTCTTCCATTCTCCTCTCGGGATCTTGGGCACGCACACACACGTGCCCGGCGTGAGTTAAAGCCTCCGGGTCTAGGACTTGAACCACTGTCAACTACATGGGAGTTCAGCGACATAGCCATTATGCTAACTGCTGGTCCCAGACTAGTAGAATCTTAAGCAGGGAGAAAAGGGACTTTTTGGAAACATCCTTATGTGTCTGCAGTTGGCTGGCAGGTCAGCTGGGGCTGACTGGTTGGGGGTGGCCTCGGTGGGTATGGCTTGGCTCCATGTGTGGTCTCTCACCCTCTAGCAGCCATTCTGGCTTGTTCTTTTGGAGGTGGAGGGTAAGGAAGGAACCGGAAATGTACATTTCTCAGACACATTTTCAGGCTTCTGCATTAAATTTGCTACTGTCCCTCTGGTCAAAGCAAATCATTGACCAAGTCCAGGGTCAGAAAGGTAGGGGGCTTAAAGTTACAGGGCAAGGGGTGTGGCTTCAGAAAGACATTACCTAGAGCCCACAGACGAGCCATCTACCGCATGCAGATTTTGGTGGAATTTTAGGATTTTGCCAACATGGCAGCAGCAGAGATAGGCATGGAGACCTGCATGCCTACCCTTGGAGCTCCAGGGTCTCTGGCTTTTGTCTTGGCACCCAGGTCTTGAAGGCTTTTGTGCTGTGCTGTGCTGCCTTCCTTGCTTGGTAGCTGTGGATGAGGTTTTGCAGCTTTTGTTATTTTTGCTCATTAGGTATTGGGGAAAGAAATTCTTGGATGAAGTGTTAGTCTGTAATACTCACTTAGAAGTCTCAGGGCACATCTTTGTTTTCACTCAGTAGTCAGAGTAATCTTATAAAAACAGAAACCCATTTTTCTTTTTGTTTAAAGCCTGTTAGCTTGGGGCTAGCAGGTGGTGTAATGGTTAAGGTTCTGGGCTCCCACATGGCCCTCCATGGTTTGAGTCTTGGACCTGGCAGCTTGAAACTCATGCTGAGCCTGGTTGTGTGTGTGCCCAAAATCGCAAGAGGAGAATGGAAAAGGGATTGTGGCATGGCCATCCCCCCTGGGGGGCAATTTCTCCTTTCTGTTTCTCTGTCTCTCTAGCGAGTGCATGTGCCCTAAAGCAAAAAATCACTAAAAAATCCCAGTACTCCAAAACCAGGAACACCTGTTAGCTTCTCCCCACCCTTGGACTGGTACCTAGCCTCCTTGCTGTGTATTTAAGATGTGAGGGATCTGGTCTTTGCTGGTCTCCTGGCTTCAGTCTGTGCTGCTCCCTGGGCTGCTTTATAGTTGTGAACTCACCCTTACTCCACCAAGAGCCTTTGCACACACAGGTGGCTTTCCTGTGTACTTCCTGCAGATCCTTGCATGGTACCTTTCCAGCTTCAGGTCTCCGTGCACCTGACTGTCCTAGACAGGGCACCCTGTGGTCCTGTGGTGGTGCATCCTTACCAGGCCTTTCTATCCCATCCTCTTGCTTCTCTTCTAGGTACTTACCTTTTCTGGGAGCATCTGCTTTCTCATCTAATCACAGGTCATCATCAGTTTCTTCTTGTAAATGTTTGTACCAAAAGGACAGGGGCTTTGTTTTGTTCACTGTTACCACTACACGTCATGTGTGTTCACAGTGCACATAGTGCACATAGTAGGGCTTTAATATTTGTTGTTGGCTTTAATAATTTTTTTTTTTGAGAGTTTTTTGCTATAGGGCGCATGCGCTTGCCAGACAGACAGAGAGAGACAGACAGTGAGAAATCACCCCCCGGGGGGATAGCCATACCACAAATCCTGTCTCCTCCATTCTCCTCTCAGGATCTTGGGCATGCATGCACACACCCCCGGTGTGAGTTTTAAACCGCTGGGTCCGGGACGCGAACCGCGGTCGACTATGTGGGAGTCCAGCAACATAGCCATTACGCTAACTGCTGGTCCCAGTAGTTGTTGTGAGAATGAATGATTCAGTCACTCGGTAAGCATTCTAGTCTATGAAGTAAGCAAGTTATTACTTATATTTATGTATGAATGAGATGGATGTTTTTGCTCTTTACCCATTCTTGAAAATGTGGTTCCACAAAATACAGCCTTATGTGAAATATAAATACAAAGTGGAGGATAGGATTGAAATGGCACCATCTATTTTCTTGGTGTAGTTCCTGCTATTTTCTTACTTTTCAGAGTGGATTGTGTGAAAGTAGAGATATTTTAAGAGTATCATTATTGAATTTTACACATTCCCATAAAAATCACTTTAGTATATATTTTTACTGTCTTTGTATTTTTGTCCCTACCCAACTGTCAGGCACTCAGTTATTGCCATAGTTTTATTTTTATTAAAGATTAATAGACTGAATTTAGGTCTAGGCTGCTTGATTAATGGACAATGAAGAAAAACTTGAAAATTTAGGAATCATTTTGCAGAGATCACATAACTTAATAAACACTAATAGCCTAGAGGAAAATCCTTGTTCATTTTTCAGAGTGCCTATACATTTCTTGTTAAGATAAAATACTTTAATATGCTGTGATCACTTTGGGGCAGATTCCATTTTTATTGGTTATGACATTGCCTAAGCATGTTCCATCTTCCCCCCCTCCTTTCCCCTTTCCCTTTCCTCCCCAAGTCTCAGGTCTCTGGTAGACACTTGACATGTTTGCCTCCAGGTGCCTCTTCCTCATTGTCTCTCTTCAGCTAGGGAAGTGGGCTACCAGACCTTGGAGGCTCAAGTGTTGTTGAAAGATCTGGGGTCCATGGTTTTGAGTTTTCTGCCTCTTGAGAATTGTCAGTGCAACTTTGGAAAGCTAGAGAGAGTTTGGCGATTGAGGCATCTAAGACGTTGTGTTGTACTGAGCAGATCATGCTGTGTCTGAAATGCCAGCGCTGCCTAGAAGATGCCCCAATGCTACCAGTTATGATTGGATTATATATTTGTTATTTGTTTGGATTCATTATTATTATTATTATTTTAATTAGACAAGGACACACTATGCTGTGATTCTGCTATCTTAGCCTCTCAAGTACGAGAGGTGCGTACAACCATTTCTGGCTGTTAGGGTGGGCCAGGAATCAAATCCAGGCCTCCCACGTGGGCTCCATCTTCTGAGTAGCAGCATCAACCAGCAGGTGCTGCTATGGCTGGGCCTGCAGGAACTCATTTCGACTTAAGCTTTGTCTGATCTGAAAATGTTTGCAACTTCTATTACGGTTTCTTTGTTCGTTTCCCTGCTGGTAGCTCTCTGGTGAGCTCCCTCTTCTTTTCTGTGCCAGGCTCACTCCATCTGTGCTTCTTCTAGGAGGGCGGCCTGCTGGATGGTGGCACCCTGGAGATCCTGGAGCGGCGTCTACACGTGGGTGTGCACAATGGTCTCGGCTTTGTGCAGAGGCCACAGGTCGTTGTGTTGGTACCTGAGATGGATGTGGCCTTGACGCGCTCGGCCAGCTTCA